AACAGGTGCTTACGGAAACGTCCTGTAAACCAAGCGGACATTTCGAATTAGAAACTCGTAAATATTATATCCCGTTTGCTCTCTAAAATTTTAAAATTATAACTTTTGGTGGTTTGTTTATCATTTATAGAAATGAGGTATTACAAACCTTTTATCATTTATGTAAATCGGGTCTTTCTCAAATGTTTACGTACAATTTACAAAATGAAATCTCCTACCTCAATTACACTAAGAAAATGCTATTTATAGGGTCAATTTCCTGAGATCTTACTACACAAAACTAGTCCAGCAAATAATTCCAAATAAACTTTCGCAAGTTCCTTATCTACACAAAAGAAGGATAAAGGTGTTGATACATGTCTACAGATATCTCATGATCACAATGAAACCTCCACCACTCAGAGTCCAAAAATATATTTTCTCGCCACAGACTTTGAATTAGAGACGGACTTGAGTGTAGAGCGGATTGAGATTGAGACAGTGATCCCAGGATCCGAAGTTCACAAACATCCAAATAAATTTTTTCCAGCAATGGAGCAGAGGAAAAAGGTTCTCATATGTCCTGACTTCGTGGACATGTGTTTAAAAGCCAAGTCTTCTGTTGAGCTATAGAAGGAAAATAAGGCTAAGGAACCAAAATCTACCACCTCTGCATATAAATTTCCAAAGTCTAGATTTCAAAAGCCTATAAAGTTCACTCTGAAACAGAAAGGAAAGTTTGCATCTAATTCTAAATTCAATTCCTCTGTTTCAGAGAGGCCTCTGAAAGCCAAGGGAGAAAAAGGAAACAAGAAAGGCAGGCCAAAGAAGACAAAAGCCGATTTCAATAAATAATTGAAACTAGATAGGGAGTTCCTTCGAACGAACAATGCTAGGAACAATTGTAATAATAATAGTAAGTCAAAGTTTTATGAATCCAGTGAATCGTTTGGTCATCAAAAATGTGTTCATAATTGCAAATGTCTATCTTTGCTACAGCAATTAAAGTAGCACCCTTCTAGTCCCAAATGCATTCTCTTTTTGTCACCTAAGAATAAATCTAAAAGGACCTAGAGGAAGTAGGCTCCTAAGCCAAATTTGGCAAGCCAGACCCCATGTCT